AGAAGCGAAACAGTGAAGCTCTTGGTGAAGTTACTACCACTGATGTGACTGTTACCGATGATAGGACATTTCCTGATGAAGCAGATGAATCCCACATGAAGCAGAAGCCAACGAGACGGAGACCAGTACAGAAGAAGATACGTCCCGTAAAATTAAGACTTTGTTGAATTTTAATTTTGTGTTTGTAAATTCTGTACAATTAATTAAGTTATTGTTAATTGGTTTAATGTAAGTGGCTATTGTTCGGGACGAACAATACTAAGGAGGGGGCAGTGTTACGACAGTGGAGGTCACGTGACGCTAGTAACAGGTCATGCGCTTCTAGAACGTTCATGTCCCTTCCTGAAGTCTCGAGCACTTACTAGATGTGCGGTATTCTTGTATGTAAGCCGCCAAGAATGTAACTGAACTGCAGACAGAGATTGAGACGTACTGTTGGGTCGAGCGCGTGTGTCGTTTGTTGTGAATTATAGCGTGACCGTGGAAATTACGTGAATTTCAAAGTTGTATTCAGAAAGAATAAACCAGTTTTATTTAAGAAAGTACTTGTATCGCTAAAGTTTCTTCGGAAAGAATTTTTACGGAAAATGAATTAACGACCAGAGACGCAACACTGTTAAACAACAACTGTTCACAACAAATTTTTATCGGTCTTTACAAGTTTTGAAAAAGTTGTCCAATAATGCCGTACTTCAAGACCATACACATTTTTAGTATGTTCCAAATTAAATGCAGACATTTAATTAATGTTTCTGTGGATTTTTTGTCTATTCTTTATACTGAGTTTGTGTTATTATTTTTTGTTTGAAAGTACTTTCCAAATTAATTGTAGGCATTTTATTAGTTTCTGTTGAATTGAATTTCTATTCCTTATACTAGGTTTGTTATATTGATTTTTGTTTGAAAGCTACAGATATTTTTCTACAAAAAGATTACGCAGACGTAAATAGTTAAGCAATGCATTCAATCGTTACCAACCATACAGAATTTAGTGCTTTTTTATCCGACTACATAATTACTTGAATGAGGAAAAAAGGGGGGAGTAGTGAAGAATTTGTCGTTAAGCGCAAAGCTACACCGTGAGATATTCAGGCTCTGCCCATTGCGGGTATGAAAACCAGACATTTACCGTTGTAATCCCTCAGAATCACCATTAAGCCACTGCAGACAAAACAGGAAAGATAAGTATGTTAATACATATGAAGCAAGTTAACATCAGTCGAATAATTGGAACGGAACTTCCTGATCAATAAAAAAAATCGGGTTTTACTCACTTCTTGCAATCTTTACATTATGTTGAATAAAAACAATATATTTTGGTTTAATTGAATAACAAACTTTACAGGATACCTTTACAAGCCTTTGGTTAATAATAGAAATGATTTTTTTTATATATAAAAACAGTGTTTCACAAAGAAATTTCATAAATTTTAGAAGTTAAACATGTATACAAATGCCAAGTCAAATTATGTGATTCCCCCCCCCCCCAAATATACCTGATATTATCCAGAAAATTTATCACGAAATAAGATTCAATTATATTATTATTATTAATATTATTTTACAATTAATGAGTGCGCGAAATCAAGCCATGTCTGGTTACTCTTCGGGAAGATCCAGATTATCCTATCCGTAAGTAGAATTGTCAGTTTCTTTGGTTCATCATCACTGCTATTGCAATGACTTTGACTGCTCCATGATGTCCAGATTCCAGTCATTCAATGAATTGACACACCTGTGGTGATCATCTGTCAGCATTTCTGTGCTTACTGGCTTGGATGATACTGTACTGACTTTGTATTTCTCTGACATTGTAATCCAACGTATCTTCCATACTTTTCAAGTACATCAGCTATTTCAGTGATGCTTAGTCCACACGAATGGGTTTCCTGCCATACAAGTAGTAGCAATAACATATGACAAACACTGTCTACAAATAATTCTTTATTGTTATGACGTATAGACATAGAAGTGCATACACATTAAGATACTCCACACCTGCTCCTGTGAAAAACTGCACTGATTCAACTTTCACTGTTATTGGTATCCAAGATGAATGTACAACTTTGTCAAGGATAAGCTAGCATCAAACACTCACCAAAGATTATTGAAATAAATGAAATACCTGTTAACAATTTGCAGTCCACATAAAATATAAAGCAGTCTTTGTGAAAGCAGACAATGTATAGCTATCTTGCAGAAGTTAGCCACAAAATGTCAATAATATTAATGAACTTAATAATAAATTCTTTACTTTAAAACACAAGTTTCTGTATTCATCCAGTTTTGTCATAAAAGGCTTAAGCAGACATATGATAAAAAAAATCTAAGGCCTTGTATTATACATTTTAACTTTAAGTCCTTTTTATATATATACTGAATAGTAGGGACTAGATTGTTTTAAAACAGCTCACAGGGCTGCACAAGTTTAAATTGCAGGAAAGTTTTTTTTTCAGTCAAATCTGTATAATTCTGATGCAAAATAAAATACTTCTGACTTTTCAGCTCTGATTTTAATTGAAATAAAAAGAGATCGAAAATGAAAAGATTACTTGTACCTTGATAGCCAAAAGGCTTTTATGAACACTAGTTTTAAATCTTGAAATAGCAAGTTTTATATATAAAGTGTACTGGTACAAACAAATATTAATACATTCAATGAGTGCAAAAGTGTAGAATTGTTGCAGAAATGCATATATTAAATTGAAACTTAAAAAACAAACTATATAGGATTTAAAACTGGATCTTAAGGATGAACATGTTAAACAATATATGATTAGACAAATTAAATATGATCTTTTGAGCACCCATTACATCATGGCTTAAATAAACACAATCATGAGAGAGAAAAAACCCCACAAGAACATGTCATTTTTAATATACACACATACACTTACCACGATTTGGTGACCTTTTAAGTAAAAAAAAAACATAACAGCATAAAGAATTGCCCAATGTTTTCTTCACAAATCATCTAGCTGCTGGGCCATCCCACTACACATCATCTAACAGTTAAAACCAGACTTCACCTGGTTTGCATAAAAAAAAATCAGCCTGACTGAGTCAAGGGAAGTTACAGAGAGGTCAGATTTAGTCAATAAATGACTCCCCTCACTTTTAATTAGATCTTTTCACAAAAACTTTGTCCTAGTCTTGTTTTAGGAGTTATTTTACTGGAATTGTATGTAAGTTCAAAAATATATAAAAACATAAAAAGCAAGATAACCCCTTAACAAAATGATTACTTTGACTTTACAGTGAAACACCAAAAATGAAAAATGTTCTGTTTGCTATGTAGAAAAATGAAAAAAACAACTAATCTACCCTTTCCATTCCAGAAAAATCTGAATAATATTTTGATGACACAACCTGCAAATAATTGGAACATCACAACAACAATGGCTAGTTTTCTCCTACCAAAAACTAAACTATATTTTCCAGTAGACTTAAAAAATATTGAAACTTAGTATAAACTCTCTTCATTTTCTAGACATGTAAAATAACTTTCAAAATGCTGAAACAATAACAATTATCAGATTTCATAGATGCAGGTTAAATACAGAAACATCATAATTATTTTTCATAAAAATACAATGGGGTTCCATGCAAAAATTGAGACTAATTTTTCTAAATCTTTACACCTGTTTGAAGGCTTTAGGTCTTCCCGTGTTTATGGTTAGCCGCAGAATCAGTTTCACAAAATTTGGCAAACAAAAGACCAGCACTTGCAGAAACAAAGGAGTTTCTCACCCAAAATGAAATCCTATTGTTACTACCACCAATTTAATCCATTTTCTTGCAAGGTTACTGATGTTCCAACCAATTATTGTAACAAAAGAAAATGATTCAGATAGTGAAACACAAACATGACAAGAAAAATCATAGTAAGAGTGGGTTTAAAAATATTATGTTGGTCGGTAATTTTTGCATCATCTGTATATATCAATATACACACATTAGAACAGATCATCTGCTCATAAAAAAATCCACAATTTCATGTCTCTTTATGCAGATCAGTGAAATTTGTAACACATTTCTATTACTTTAGATTACAGATATATATTTTTCTGTTTGGTGGATCCAACTTAAATGTAAATGTAAAATTTTTTCTTAATACTGAATGAATAAAATACTTTGTTTATAAATAAATTGTTTGGAAAAAAAAGAGATTAACTGAAAAGGCAAAAATACATACTTGTGAATTTTTTTGTGTTAATAAGGTTCAAGGGTCATCCTATATTACAAAAACATAAAGATATCACTTAAGAGCCAAGAGACAATTGATCTCAAAGTTTTGATTCTCATTAAAGATGCAAGAAGATCCCAAAATGTTTTCCAGTGTGCCATATTGAACATTTCATGGTGAAAAACATCATCTATTCTTCTAACATGGTTTAAATTAATATGTATAATGCTGAGAGATTTAAAATAAAAAATGTGAATTTTATACCTCAAATAAACATCACTGTGTGCTACTATAGCGTGCAGTCTACATAGAAACTATCATCTTCAATGTTTTAACTTTTGTTCACTTGCAATTGGCACCATTTATTATAAATAATACTTTTAAACTAATAAAGTACAAAATAAAATTATATAACATTTTGGGGACAAATATAAATAAATTCCAACAATCAAAACTAGCACAATTATAACCTAAATTTAAAGTACTCTTTTGGAACACACAACTTATTAAATTATTATTGATGAACGAAACCATGGATAGATATAAATTATTTAGTAAGAAATTGTGTTTTATTAAATCATTAAAATGGTGATGATGATAGTATCTCTATAGACCGCACACTATAGTGTAAATATCTTTGTAGACCACAGGCTTTAGTAGCACCCATCAATGTTTAAGGTTTACAATTCATTACATAAAAATCTACTGTGCAGGAAAAAGAAGTGACATGTGCTTTAAACATACACTTAGTATTTTTGACTTGCATATTACCTTATACCAAGAATAAATACAGTAAACTGCACGAGGTCCTTAATACTTTTTACATGCAATTTATGTTCCTTGTTAAGAATGTATTCTGTACATTTTATGGACAAAACAGAATGTCACATTAATACAAGAATGTAGACATTTTCTTCTCCAATTAACAGAATTGTAGAAAAATCAACTTGTGCCCTCCCAGTCCCACAAAACACACATTAAAAAGTAGAATATAACTTTGGAATTCTGCTTTTATTTAACATTGAAAAACAAAAATTTCTGGGATTTCCAAATTGAGAAAGTGAAATACAATGCATTGATGACCCAATTGTTTGCATAATTTCTATAAATTTAAGTCTACAGTATTCACTGTATCTCCATTAAGTGCATTGTTTTGTAGACACAGCACCTACATACCATACTCAGAGCATTTTTGAAAAGTTAGTAATATCACAATCCATAAATGTCTGATCCACCATATTCCCTGTCTTTTAAGGTACTTTTAAGAGTGAAAAATAAATAAATTGGAGTATAAATATATATGTACATATCTATGTGCATGTGTGTGAAGAGCTTAGAAGCAAAACCCGGTATATACAACTTTACCATTTTGAGAAAATCTTTTATCCTATAATTTTCACAAAAAATGCTATGAAATCAAGTGGCCATTTCATTAAATGAAACCATTGCAAATTATATTAAAACTTAAAAAATTGAACTTATTCAAATAATACAAAATAAATATTATTCTTGGACAAAATTCTTTGCATTAAATAGGACATTATAGTCAAAATGTTGCATATTCAGTAATATGATGCCATTGGCAGCTGTTTCCTCAGAACTGGCATTTTGCTTCTAAGCTCTTTGAATATGTTCGTACATTTTATGGTCTTTAATATCTAGTTTCATGGATTTTTACAGTATAACATGTAGAGTACGCCACATATAAACTGATAAAGAAATCATAGTTTAGATAAATGTTGTCATGAAATGAAAGTGTTTAATATACATATACTGTTACATTAATTTAAATGTTTATTACTATGTGTGTGACTGAGGGTTTGTGTGTATGTGTATAGTTCAGGATATTCAGGTACTTGAGTTACTCCTCAAAAACTTACTGGGAGTGCTTTTCCAGCAATAGAATGAACAATGTGAAAAAGCCTTTTTGTTCAGGGCATCATGCAATATAAATTCACACCACTCTAGGAGACTTCTGTATAAAAAAAAGCTTGTAATGCTAAGTTTCGAAATGTTAAATGTAGCTTCACCTCTATGTTAAGCTACATAATACTGAGAAACCTTGATAATTTTCTTTACTGGGTAATCTAGACTCTTCTTTCTAATTATTAAGTTTAGTTATCTGGTTTATAATAATTTTCTTATTTAATTTTTGAGGAAAATACTTTATCTTCTACCTTATTAATTCCCCTCCCCTCACTTTTTAGTTCATTTTACCACTGTTTATCATTTAATCTTATATTTTGGCTGCCTAATTTTGTAAATCTTCACCTTGTTTATTATATTCACATTGATAACAATCATCCCTGATCTCTAATTTAACAATTGGTTCAACTAATTCACTTGGTAATTCTTCTGTATTTTCTCCAGATGTAAATGAAGCTTCTGCAGTTTCAGAATCCTCTACAGCAGCTGTAACATCATTGAAATTAGAATTTGCATATGCATTGTAAAGGGCTTTATCCCCATGTCGTTTAGCTATATGTTTTCTCAAATACAAAACTCTCACAAAGGTTTCACTGCATATAATACACTGAAAAGGTCTTCCACCTGTGTGTGTTTGCATATGAAATACAAGTTTTCCATAAAAACAAAACCCTTTTCCACAAACTTTACACACATACTGTTTTTTTAATGTATGAGATTTTATGTGTTTTACTAATAATGGAATATCTTCAAAAATATCTTCACATGTATTACACTTATATGGTCCTTCTTCACAACTGTGGACTGGCATGTGATTAATCAGCAGAACTTTTTGAGAAAATTTGTTGTTACATAAACTGCATTGAAACATAGCATCATTTCTATGAACCATTCTGGCGTGCTTCCGTAAGCTGGAGTCATCACAGAAATTTTTACTACAGACATCACATCTGTAAGGTTTTTCACCAGCATGTATTCTTCTATGTGATGATAGATACGTCTTTGACATGAATGTTTTACTACAGGTATCGCATTTGAAGGGTTTGTCTCCTGAATGGGTTTTTATATGTTTTTTCAAAGATGCTTTGTCCTTGAACTTTCTCTCACAAATATTACATTCAAATTTTTTTTCATCTGTATGAACAAGCATATGACACAAGAGATTAGCACTCCTTGTAAACCTATGGCCACAAAAATCACAACCAAAAGGTTTCTCACCTGTATGAATTCGGGTATGTGTGCTGAGGGAAGAATTAGTAGTGAAACCTTTACTACAAACAGTACATACATATGGCTTTTCTCCAGTATGTGTTCTCTTGTGAGTTGTAAGATGGCCAATTTGTGTAAACCTTTTGTCACATAACTCACATTTATAAGGCTTTTCACCACTGTGAATTCTTTTATGAATGTTCAAATCCTTGTTTTCACTAAATCCTTTACCACAAATAGAGCATTTAAATGATTTGTCACCAATATGGTATTTCCAATGTTGACCTAAGGCATAACGTGACAAAAATGGTTTACCACACACAACACAAATAAACTGAACAGTTTTATCATGAAGTTTTCTGTGCCTATTTAAATTTGACTTGTGGGTGAACTTAGTATCACATACTTCACAACTGAAAGGTTTCTCACCTGTATGTATCCTCATGTGAGAGTCCAAATGTCTATAATAAAACTCCTTACCACAAATTCCACATGGTAGAGTTGTTTTCTTTGTGTGCGTTTTTGCATGTCTGTCTCTATCCACATTTCTTTTAAACTTACGGTCACAATATTCACATTTGACTGCCCATTCTACCTCATTTGTATTTTTTTCATTCATACCTTTATAGCTGGTTGACTATAATACAAAAATATTTGATAACTTTGTAATATGAAAAGATAACTGAATAAGTTTCCTGCAGCTTAAATACCATGTACTTCTTGAGAATATTTTTTAACCTTCCTTCACTTGTGTTTACCTTCCTTTAAAACGTCAAAACAAAGTGAACCCAACCTTTTATTTCAACAAACCTATAAGACATAAATTATGTTTTCTCGTAATCCCTTCCACCTTTGAACCAAAAAAGAACATGGCAGCAGGTGTTAAAGTTGACAACTGACTTTTTCTAGAATCTTGCTATAAGTATAATACATTCACCAAAGGGCCTCCTGGAAAAGAAATATATTTTTACTAGTTACGAAAAAAGTACAAATGCTTTAAAGTTTAAAAACATATATATCGTTCACAAATATCTATCCTAGGCCTAGGGTACTTGCACTAAAGTACACTTAATTACATGTTACAGTGATATACAGTCTAACCAATAATCATTTTTCGTAAACTACAACTAGAAATTTAATTAAAAAGTATAATTATAGTATTATATTACTAATAGTAACATTAGTACTCAGTACTACTAGCCTAATCTCTCCATTTCGAAAGCTCTCTTAATTTCAAATGACATTGACTAATAGTAATACTCGAGTATAATATTTCGTTAAGGAATAGTTAATGATAAGAAAAAACTGTTGGAACATTACTTTCTCTATACTAGTACTATCACACCATGGCTCAAAATTCAGCCTTTTTATCTGCTTCTTTTTTCTCTCTTTTTTTTTTTGACTTGCCTGAAATACTGCATAAAGCCCACCGTTAATACTAGCATCAAATAAAATGTCAAGAAGTTTTTTCTGTTCGTCTAGCGTCGAAACGTTCATGGCGGCCTCTCTCGGCTTTTATTAATTTACAAACTAATAAAATATACATATTTAAGACTAGGTATTCACAATGATTAAGCGTTATTTTTTTAGGTAATGAATGTAACGGTGTGGATTTGTTTGAAGAGACTGTAAATGCGTATCTATGCTGATACAACGTGTAGCGTTATAAAATGTGATACTTCTTGCAGATGAAGAATTGTAGTATGCCTGTAAATTATCCGTTCATACTAGTTTCTTGTGTTTTTATTTTCTTTGGAAAATGTTTAAAAGTTCCATAAACTAGTAGAAATAAAAATGATTTATCAATTTCAACTAAGTTATATTGATAATTTCAATTTTTTTTAGGTCAGAGGCGTCGCTAGGCGCTAGCATACGGAGCCCGTGCTCCAAATCCTTAGTTGGTGTCTTGAAAAATCAGAATAGAAAACCATGATTAATATCATACTGAAACGCCGAAAATTCCCATGCCTAGGACCAAAACCTCGAATCTGTTAAGCACCTAGTAACACCTCTGGTTCAGAGTATTTTCTCACTGCTCACAGTTCAGACAGACTGGAAATGTCTCTTTTTCTTTTCAGAAATTGTTGTGCATACTGGAGGGATTTACGCATTTTGATAATAAAGTTAGGAAAAAAAACGACATTTACATTCCAGATAATTATAAGAGAACTTTTAATGAAAAGTAGAGGCAAGGCAACAATTGTAAACATCTTTAATGAACGTTTCGAACTTACAAATATTCCATCTTCTGTAAATCTATGATAATAATGAAGGGAACAATTTTAAGTATAATCACTAACATAAAAATACAATGAGTAGTGTTAGAAAATTATAAAATATTCAATTTCAAAATTAGAGAGACAAAACGTTATTTGAATAAAGCGAGGGGGAAAGAGTTGAAATTTCGTTTGAGACTTGGATTTTCATTCATAATATGCATACTTTCTTTTATCAACAGTTTGTGATCATTGCATCCATAAGTTAGAATTGAAAAGGTTTCTAAGGGATCGAGGTGTGGTGACGTTTCGTTGTGAGAATACATAGGAGAGTTAGGTGGATTTTGAAGTTTTAAATTCACTTCTGTTAGAAACTCACATACGTTTCAAGGCGCATATTTGTAAATGGCGAGAAGTTTGGCCTATGTAGGTGGCTTTACAGCTACTACCTGTATATATTTAAAGTACTCTTTTGGAACACACAACTTATTACATTATTATTGATGAACAAAACCATGGATAGACATAAATTATTTAGTAAGAAATTGTGTTTTATTGAATCATTAAAATGGTGATGATGATAGTATCTCTATAGACCGCACGCTATAGTGTAAATATCTTTGCAGACCACAGGCTTTAGTAGCACCCATATCAATGTTTATGGTTTACAATTCATTACACAAAAATTTACTGTGCAGGAAAAAGAAGTGGCATATGCTGTAAACATACACTTAGTATTTTTGACTTACATATTACCTTATGTCAAAACTTCCAAAGCGTTTGTATAAACTAGAGAACGTTTTCTTACTGTAAACAAAAGTGCTAAATTCGTTGTTTCGTTTTTGAACCTGTACGTCAAGAAAAGAAAGTTTGTTTTGATTTTCAGTTTCATAGGTGAATTTGATATTAGGGTGTTGAGAGTTTAAGTGGTTAAGGAATTTATTAATGTTTTCATGGTTACGGAAGAGTAAGAATGTATAATATACATACCTTTTTTTTTGGAGAGCACGGATTCAACGTCAGAAGGGCACTTTTTGAGCCATGTGTGCTCATGGTGACAAAAAAAGAAATTAGCTGGACGAGACCTTTCACCAGTACTCGAGTTTGTGGATCGGCTGTAAACGTCCCATCTAAAGTTAAATACCTTAATAAACGTGTAAGATTATTAACTGATATAACGTTTTGACCGATACTCTGATACATTCCCAGCCGACCCATGAACTTAACTACTGGTGAATGTTTTCATCCATCATCCATGACACGCTTATGCGGTTGGACGGCCCGGCATTTGTCAGGTGGTTAGGGTGCTCGACTTGTAATCTGCGGATCGCGGTTTCGGATCCCCGTCCCACCAAACATGCTCGCCCTTTCAGCTGTGGGAGCGTTATAAGGTGACGGTCAATCCCACTATTCGTTGGTAAGAGAGTAGTCCAAGAGTTGGCGGTGGGTGGTGATGACTAGCTGCCTTACCTCTAGTCTTTCACTGCTAAATTAGGGACGGATAGACTTTGTGTATTTTTGCGCGAACTTCATAACATCAACAGCGTTTGGACGTTCTCGTAATCTAATGTTTTTATAAACATTGAAGGATTTAATATACAGATTATAGTTTTTGTTCTATAACTTTTTACATTTTATGTGCTGAAAAGTACACTTTTAACATACAAACTTTATATATACACATATAACACGTTTCACTAACTTTTATTTCAAAATATGATTAATAAACTCTGCAGTTAACCATTTTGCTACATAATGAATGTACTTAATTACTATCATAGTATTACAACACTTACCATTTTTTCATAAATCTTTGAGGACAGATATAACTGAATTTTCTTCTGCAGTAGAGACGTTACTGATATCACATACATGTTCAAAACCACCGTGTCAACTAGGAAAAACAAAGCTGAATGTATGTGTGTTCTTTCTAACTGACTTCATTAACATTGAAAGCATACAATCACCAAATGACAATTCATCTTAATTGATTCACAGCTTACAGTATGTCGCCCTTTTGCTAAGAGGAGAGGGGACTGATAAAATTCAAAGTTCAGTTTGGTCATTAACATTGTCGATATTTAGTCTGACGACCTCATGGCAGAAAAACTTTTATGAAAATCAATTAATATCACAATTTAATATTGAAAATAAACTATTCAAACTTTACCTAAATTTAATGTTCACTTTACAAAGCACTAAATATGTATTTATGCGTTTCAGTTAATTACAATTTTTTGTATTCAGTTAGGCTCCACATTTCTAAAAATGTGTTTATCAACGTGTGTAAATAAATTCACAAACTCTAAATAAGACTGATGTCACACTTATTGAAATATTTATTAACAAAACTTCAGTATACACTACTATTTACATAATTGTCTTAGTTTATAAAATACTGGATTAGCTTTCATACAACTTTTGCCGTATTACTACTTAACATTACAACTCAGTATGTAATATTTTATACAGTTTTTGAACGATAGTCAATAGTCGGTCTCATGTTATAACTTCCATAGACTCAGAAAATATAATTAACGGATACGAAACAAGGCTATGCTAACTATTAAATTCGGTGTTGCTATATACCAGCTCATTGACAGACATGACAAAGGTCAGTTCTGAGTTTACATAAGTAGCGGCCCCCCAGTGGCAGTCTGCGGAGTTACAACGCTAGAATCCGGGTTTCGATACCTGTGGTGGGCAGAGCACATATAGGCCATTGTGTAGGTTTGTGCTTAATTACAAACAAACAAACATAAGTAGCGACAATCTATTATAATACATTGTCGCTATATTTTTACATTATATTTAAAATTGAAAATAAACGGTTCAAACTCTACACAATCATATATTTTCTACGTAAATGTAGTTGTTTGTTTGTTTGAAGTTAAGCACAAACCTACACAATGGGCTATCTGTGCGATCCCCACCACGGGTATCGAAACCCGGTTTCTAGCATTGTAAGTCCGCTGTGCCACTGGGGAACACGTAAATGTAATGTTCACCACACTTTAACCAGAGCTTTTGTATGTTACTGAATTTAAAAGTCAGTAAACAGTTTTTCACTTTACATAGTGATACAAAACACTAAATGTGTATTCACGATATTTGATGGGGCACTTCTATTTTATATGTGTCCCCAACATACAAGAAATGGTCAAAAGTTCAAACTGTGTCAGTCGGTGAAAAATAATTTTTCAAAATAAAAATTTGATTAAATTGTACTTTTAATATCTATTTAGACATTAATATGTAAAATACGTGAGATTTCATTATACAAAGGATGGTAACAGAGTTAGTTAACAGTGTTGTCATATCTGTGTTTCAGTTACAGTTTATATTTTTCACTTGTGTAAAAATATATAAAAACAAGCTGAATTAACATGAGACATCGTACTAAAGTAAAGACATGTCACTACACAAATTAATAAATGATTCAATGCAATCTAATCATGTAAGATTTCAGTTAATAGGCTTAGAAAAACTAGTTTATCAACTATTTCAAAGTAAATGTTTCCTCACACAGATTTTGAAACTGTTACGATAACATAACTTAACTTTCCACTTAAAAATTATACAAGTCAGTGTTCTGTGATTTCCTTATATAAAAATCAATTTTGATCATAGCCTAATATACTTGCTACTTTAGTATATGTAAGTAATATCTCAGTTTTAAGTATAACACATACTGAAACATTTGTTAATAAAACTTCAAGATACACTAATATACTATTTACGAAAACATCTTAGTTTATAAAATACTGACCTATACATGTCTAACTTAGTATTTTATAATAAATTACACATCGTGAATATCAGTTTTTATTGATATGTGCAATCATACCTTTCTCTTTCTCAGGCTATGATGGTCTTAATAAGGACCTTTAAATTTCATACGTTTCAACAAAGTCGTTTTCTTCAACAAAAGAATAGCCTTTATCTTCATTACGATCCTTATTTAAAATATATTATTTTTATTCGGTATAATACTAATGACCCAGTGAAGAAATAATTGGGTAATATTTAAATGTTCAATCATGTGACTGTGTAAATCCAATACGTATCCATAAACAAAACAAATAGGACACTCACCAACATGATTTGTACTGAGATGAGGATCACAGTTTTGTACGTATTGGAAATGTTCACCACAAAGTATACACTCGTAATCCATGTCTGTAGGTATGTTTGTATGTTATTTTTACACACTTATATGATCCAGAGCAAAGGAACTTTCTAAGAAGTGACGACAAAGGGTAAAAACTCTGTG